GAGAGAGAGAGAGAGAGAGAGAGAGAGAGAGAGAGAGAGAGAGAGAGAGAGAGAGAGAGAGAGGCATGCTATGGTTCCATGGTTATTTCCCACTTCTACCCCTCACACACAGTCGCCGCGCACCTACACGCACGCATTGTGCACATACACTCACACGCAAAAAAGAGACACACACACACACACACACAAAGAGAGAGAGAGAGAGAGAGAGAGAGAGAGAGAGAGAGAGAGAGAGAGAGAGAGAGAGAGAGAGTTTGGATCGGGCAATTGCCTCCACCATGAATGCATCACCCGTCGCATTTCTTTTTGCGAGCCAAGCTGCAACAGGTCATCTAGTCATCATGTGTTTTATTATTTATTAATCTCAAATATAACTTATAAGCTAGGTTACTTTGCACACCCGATTCTGCAGCACAATTATCCAGCCTGCGGAAGTTGCCCAAGGGCTCATCTCCCTGAGGCACCTCGCGCAGACAAAAAACAGCTCTTTTTTATTTAATATTTATAATTTCTAGTAAGACAATATCATCATGAGTCTGAGGTACAAGTTGTTTTTGCACAAATTTTCTACATAACACTTTGTTTTCGGTTATTTGAGAACGAATTACCTTTAATTCTATGTTGTTTCGCYGGGCACACAAACCGACTAAATCTGCCCGAAAGACAGCCCAACCGCCGGGCTTGTTTTAGACCCAGTGACCAGCCCGCTTCATGGGGTGCAACTCCCAGAGCTGCAATGGAGCTTGGAAAAAAAATAATCTGCTAATTTTATGAGTTTTTTGTKAGTCTGTTTTGAGTCTGTTTCTCAGTYTGTTGAGTCCGTAGATTTGTTCGAGTCTGTCTAATTCTGTTCCGAACCAGTTTGGAATTTCCTTTGAGTCTGTGAATGGACTTGTTGATGTCTGTTTGAGCATGTTTTAAGTCTGTGTGAGTTTGTGTGACTCTGCTTGAAGTCTGGTTTTAGCGAATCCTTAAAATTTAAATGAAATTCAGCTCAAATTCGGATAGAGTCAGGTGAGCCCAGAAGACCCCCCCCCAAAAAAAAAACAAAGGGCTGATACAATTTTTTATCGTAAATCCATTGATAGAGACCATTAAGAAAATTAACTCGTATTTTCTATTACATGTTCTTCAAAAACAAAATTGGCAGGTTCAAGATTCTTTCTGGTTTCATCTTCTTGAAGAGGCACATGCTCACCCTGCAAGTTGTGACGAAGATCTCTGTGGCCGGTATTGTCAGATTGACGGGCACTTCAAAGTTTGTCTAGCAAGGTGTCAAGTGAAGGATGTTCCATTATATCATACTGCAATTGGCAAAGTGGTCAAAGGATGCCCAGAGACACCAGTCCAAGGAGGGAAACTATGTGTTGCACATTTGAACGAGAGGAAGAACGCAGCAAAGAACAATAATCATCGAGGAGAGAGTTCTACATCAAACGAGTTTCTTGCACGAACAGAGGAACCAATTGCTTCACGCACTCGTCTGCAATCTTCAACACGAATGGCAGACGTAGAATGCATCATCAAATCTGAAATTTTTGCAAAGGTAATACATAGTCAATAATTCTTGAAAACTCGATCTGTAATCTTTTGTAACTTTCAAGAAGGATTATTTATTTTGCTAGTTCACAATGAAACATCTTTTCTTCTTCAAGATTAGCTAGTTAAATGTTTTTCTCAACCCATACAGTGTTGATATATAATTTTTCATATGACCTTTGATTTGTATTATCATTGTTTTTGTCACTTCTGTATAACAATAAGTGCTATCTAATATCATATATTCTGCCCTCTAAATTCAATCCACATCTTTCCTATAGTGAACCTATATTGTTTGTAGTGCTCTTTCTAGTGATGCAATTGCCGACTTCAACTGTAGGACATTGAATCATCCATTCACGACTCTGCACTCTCCTCGCCATCTGTTTCTTTTATCTTGCAGAAAAATTGGTACCTTGTTAAATGGAAATCGCAACCATATTCAAACTCGATATGGTGCACTGTGGAAGATTTTGTTGGCAAACATGCAGAAGAAATCATGAAGCGTTTCAAGGATGCAGAATTACCTATGGACTTTTATGAAGACATTCAAATAGAGGAAGACAAGCTTGAGGATGTAGCAGAACGACAGAGAGCATCAGGGCTACATAGGATGACATGCACATCACGGAAACTTGATGAGGAAAAGCAGAACACTTGTGGATCAGTGCACTGTTTTTGGGCTTGTGGCTTCATGTTTCCTCCAATAGAAATGATTCTTGCTGAATCATGTATACAGGTATAACATCAGCTTATCCAATGTTCGGCCCAGGTCTAGTAAATCATGTATTTACAATTTTGTTATTTGATTATGATAAAAAAATTAATTTTTTTATTGAATCATATCTAATACTTAAATTATGCGTGTCCATCTTTGTCTTTCCTGCAGGTGTATCACTATCTTTTGACGCTCTTTGCAAACCATCCATTCCCGGAGTTTATTGGTTACGATGACATGTGTCATCTTCTCCGATTTGCGTTGAATGAAAAGCGAAGGAATGTGACACTGAAGACAACAGAATTTACAGATGTGCAAAAGATTCATCATGTTGGTAAGACACTTCACTTTGTTCCTAAAGCATATATATATACCATGGCTACCATCCGGATATCCGGACAGGCGTCCAGACGGTCTGCTGTCCGGTGTCTGGACACCGGACCGTAGGAGGCCCGTCCGGAAGGGGCCGAAACCCCAAAATTCAAAAAACAAAAGGGGCACCCTAGACCTGTTCCTTGGGTCCAGGGCACCCCCTGAAAAATGTTTGATGATTTTTGGGACCGGTATTGGCCGTACAGGGCAGCAGGACAGGCCCCTTTTCTACTTGCATCCTGGCAGACCGTTGGATGCAGACCGCGGTTCCCCAGGGACAAAGGGAAGAAAAGGCAGATCTGGGCACTTCACAGTGCTTTCCCGCTCACCTGCCGCCTCCGCCACACACAGGCACACACACACACACAGAGGGAGAGGGAGAGAGAGCCCTCATTACCATTGTGGACTGGTGCACACAAGTGCGTACATGCAAGAGAGAGAGAGAGAGAGAGAGAGAGAGAGAGAGAGAGAGAGAGAGAGAGAGAGAGAGAGAGAGAGAGAGAGAGAGAGAGAGAGAGAG